CAGAATTCGCCAGGTTAAAAAGTTCTGATTAATATTCAAGTGATACATATTTTATTTTTTATTTTATAACTCGCAATATTTTATTATCAATAACATTTTTTTTTCTCACCAAAGTATATATATTATATATAGATATATTATAATATATACAAAGAGACATTTAGAGTGTCTCAACCCTTCTACAAAAGACAGTTGATTATATGGATATTACAATTAGACCAAACATTTTGAATACCTGTCTATTTAGCCAAAAAAACATGCCATAATTCTCAAATTATTATTCAAACGCTTGTTCATCAAGAATCCTCATTGTTTTTTTTTTTTTTTAAATATAACCTGAATATGAATATGTTTTAAATTTAGCAAATGCAACAAACAGGTCTTGAGGTCATTTCAACATATATTAGTTCAGTAATATGTCATTTGTAGTATGATAAAATTCCTTTGTAGTAGCATCCATGCAATTCAAAGCTTTCAGCAGTTTCTGTTTTGTTGTTGATTTGCTTCAATGGTTCACATTTTAGGATGTTGCAATTTGTGTTAAGTTGCACTTTTATCCCTTGTATTTGAATACATGCAAGGCACAAAAAAAACATATATATGCAGTGTATTATACATATTACTTCCCCCTCTCACTAACCTCCCCAACCCTTTACATTTGTATTTCATTGTTGTCAATAATATTGGTTTCGTATTCCATTCTAAATTATACATAATATTATATTTTCTGTATGGATTTGACAATATTTTTTTGATAATATTTTAACATTATCTATGTGTCATTTTGTGATTAGTCCATGTCGGTATTTATGATTATTATAATTGATTGTGGAGTAATTTTGGACCTATCACAGAATGATACGTCGATGATGTTAAAATGTTATAAAAAAAAATGTTGTCAAAATATAATTATCTTATGTATTCCATTTTATCTAAATGGCTTATCCTTTGATTTGGCCTCTTTCTAGTTACCCTGAGCTCACAATGTTTTTAAGCATTCAATAGGACATTAGTTCCAATCCTAAAAAAAGAATGTCACATTTGAAATTATATGTTTCACGTTTAACTCTGCTAAGCTAAAGATTTTCTCAACATCCACCTTTCCTTGTGTAAATATTGTCTTATTTACATGATTCCAAATTTCCCATACTATTACTACTCATAATACCTTCTAGATTAAGTTTTGATTTTTCTTTTAAGGTAGATAACTATGTTGGAAGTGTACACTAGGCAAATTATTATCTACAACATAGTAGAAAATTAAAAATGCTGGAAATGTACATAAAGCAAATTATTATGTATAACATAAAGATTGGTTGAGTCTTTGCAAAAATAATGGTTTACGATAATCAACTTCTTCCATATAATTTTACTTCAAATCTTGTCCCACTACACCATTTTATAGATGAGACAACACTTATATGACAAAGGTTAAAAGACTATTGCCCAAAATAGGAATAAGGCATGATTTTTTTATTGTTGGTTATATACTGAGTTTTACTTTTCTTTAATTTAAAATTTATAACAAAAACGTTGTTTATATATTTTAAGCAACGCATTAGAAAATGTAGATAGTTATAAACAACCTTTATTAAAACACGGATAGTTTATACCACATTTTAAATATTTTTTTTGGGTAGTTTAGATCATATATTAAAAAGTGTGGATAACTTATATACCACATATTTAAAATTGTGGGTAATTTAATTTTAAATATTTTAGATTATTATCATGTGGATAAATAATAATTAAATTGTTATATGTTGTATCAATTATCTCTTAACAGAGATCAAGTAAGTCACAAAATATTGACGTTTGAACTTCTTTGATCTTAAATGGAAAAAGTTACATCATATCTATCAACTGTACCTTTTGGTCAAGTTAAAAAGGTTCAATCCAACAATTATTATGAATTTGATTTCTAGTAAAAGAATTATACAAGAAAACATTATTCTGAATTGCACAATTATCCGATAATGTAGATACACGAAGACTATTATATATTTAACAGACATACTTCTCGAGTTATAATAATTTATTAGATATTATTTTAACTTATCTTCCGCATATTACAACACTATTTATATTTCCTTTTTTGACTTTTTAGTTCTCTATTTTTTTTTTCAGGTATTCCATTTCTCTAAGTAGTTAACTACTTTGATGTTAAATTTAACCTTATAAAATAATATATAAAATTTAACGTCGTAAAATAATATATAAAATTTAACCTTGTAAAATAATATGTAAAATTTAAACAGAATTACATAAAAAATAAACAAATTATATGAATATATATATATATATATATATATATATATATATATAAATAATTGTGCAAAAACTTTTAATTATAGAAATTGCCATAACTCTAATTTTGATTTGTCTTTTATGGATTTAATTGAAGCCGTTGACAATAAAAAATGGTGCAATTTGCCTTGTGGATGGTCCAGTTTATAGAGTTTAGGGGACAATGTCATTTACTACATTCTTTATGGTTTGTTTATTAGGGTATCCAAAAAATTAAGTCCATACGTTTTCTATTATTTTATAATTGTGATATTTCTTTATTTATTTGTTATTTTCAAAATTATATGTTTCAAAAAATTATTGGTTGTTTAAAGTGAAAAATTCAAGTATAAAATTAATAATTTTGAAAATAAGCGAGATCGGTAAATAATATAAAGAGAAAGAGCCCTAAAATAATTTATTTAAAGTTTTAGGTTATAGTAAGGTTAAATATCGATCTTTTATAAACGAATTATGTTTTATCTTGTCTATTAAGAAAATATAAAAAAAATTATCATTTTCGTCCGTGTTTATTTTTAGTTTTATCTATGTTTATTGTACTGTATGGACCGAACAGTCATACATGACATCTCACCAAGCAAACCGGACGTTCCTATAAAAGGAAGCAATTATGTAGTAAATAAATGTGGCAGAATCAATACGCAAGACCGAACGACCAGGAATAGAGACGTCCGGTATTAGTTAATCATGTTTTCTTACAAGAATTAAGATAAATAGTAATTAGAGGTATTGGACTAAGATTGGATCGAAATTAAGGTTTCACTAATCTCAAACTCATGGTAGCTGATCACGTTTACTGTGCATTTATTATCATTGTATTGAATTACTGTACAAATATTTTACTGATTTTAGCATAGGAGAACCTTTGGCAGATATCCCTCCATACGGTGGAATGAAGACGAATACTTGATCTAGGTATCGGACGGCTTAGAAGAAGAAATTGTACAAATATTAAAGTAACTTGAACTCGTAATTGAACTCGTAACTAAAACACTTATGTATTTTTTTTATGTGCAATGCATTATTATATTTAAGTGAGACAATTAATAAAACAGAATTATTTAAATTTTTTGAAATGAAATGAAATTACAAAGTTTTAGTATATCTAATATGGAATTTGTTATAATTTATGAATACAGGAGAGTAGGAGTCTATAAACAGACATATAACTTGCTCTCTAAGTGCAGATATCTTACAAAATAACTATATTTGTTTCTTGTGTTTGGTTTTAGGTGATGGATCAATCTCTGGGCTCCAACAAAATGGCATATTTGAAGGAAGTACGAGAAAGAGAAAGAGCTGGTGGAGCCGCCGCCATACTAGCCATTGCCACCGCAACTCCACCCAACTGCATTCACCAAGATGACTTCCCCGATTATTACTTCCGAATCGCCAACAGTGATCACATGACTCAACTCAAGGCCAAGTTCAAGCGCATATGTAAGCTCAACTTTCCACCACCACCATCTTTATCATATCATCTCTTTCCATATGAAATCAAATGTGTTGGACATGCAAACAGGTGAAAAGTCCATGGTGAAGACACGATACACACACCTCACTGAACAAATCTTGAACGAGAACCCCGAGTTTGCAAGTTACAGAGCATCCTTGGATGCACGACAGGACATACTAATCAAGGAAATTCCGAAGCTTGGGGAGAAGGCGGCGTCCAAAGCCATCGAAGAATGGGGAAGAGACAAGTCCCACATCACTCACCTCGTCTTCTGCTCCTACGCGGGTATGGACATGCCAGGTGCTGACTACCAACTTCTCAAGCTCTTGGGCCTCAAACCATCCACCAAAAGATTCATGTTATACCACCAAGGTTGCTACGCCGGCGGCGCCGCACTTCGTCTAGCTAAAGACCTAGCCGAGAACAACGTTGGAGCACGTGTTCTGGTGGTGTGTTCCGAGATCACGGTTGCCGGATTTCGTGGACCCTCCGAAACCGACGTGGAGTTGTTGGTGGGACTGGCACTCTTCGGTGACGGTGCTTCATCTGCCATCGTTGGATCCGACCCAGAAACATCCACGGAACGGCCCTTGTTTCACATTGTGTCGGCATCGCAGACAATATTACCGAACTCGGAGGGTGCCATGGAGATACACCTGCGCGAGATGGGACTGACATTCCATCTGAAGGACAGTGTTCCGATGCTAATCGGAGACAACGTGGAGAAAATGTTGGAAGAAAGCTTGAAGGCAGTGATCGGGGTGAGTGATTGGAACTCGTTGTTCTGGGTGGTGCACCCTGGTGGTCCTGCAATCTTGAACCAGATAGAGGAGAAAGCTAGGTTGAACCCTAACAAACTGAAAGCTTCTAGAAAGGTTTTGAGTGAGTATGGGAACATGTCGAGTGCATGTGTGTTGTTTGTGCTTGATGAGATGAGAAGGAAGTCTGTGACGGAAGGAAAAGGCACAACTGGTGAAGGATTTGAATGGGGCGTTTTGCTAGGGTTTGGCCCTGGATTGACCCTCGAGACCATTGTTTTGCACAGTGCCATTGTAGACTCAGCTTCTGGTTATGGAGTTTCCCGCCATTTTCCAAAGCTGCTGCATATGTGAACCATTTCTCATGCCTTATTTAACGTTTCTCTCATGTATGTCTAAAACAGAATAAAACATATGTAATAAGATTGTCCCATGATAACCCTGTATTTCTGAAAAAAGATGTTTTTACATGTTTGCAAATATTTTCATATTTTCATCTCATCACACACACACACATATATATATATATATAGATATATATATCTAATATATAATATATATTATAATATCTATATATATATATCAATTAAAACAAATTAAGTATTAACTTATTACATAATTAACTAACTTATCATAAACTTTCATCTCAAATTTTTTGATCTTTTTATCATATTTTTCGAAACAACACTACATTCACCTAATTTCTCCCTCAAATTCACTTAAAACCACTTTTACAAATTTATCTTCAAATTCAAAAACAGCAAGTTAAATTTGATTGCACACAAAAGAAGAAAATATCCATCATATAAAATAAGGGTTTTTTTTAAATATCTTTAAAGAAATAAGTTTACCCCAATTATTTATATATATATATATATATATATATTCATATAATTTGTTTATTTTTATGTAATTCTGTTTAAATTTTACATATTATTTTACAAGGTTAAATTTATATATTATTTTACGACGTTAAATTTTATATATTATTTTATAAGGTTAAATTTAACATCAAAGTAGTTAACTACTTAGAGAAATGGAATACCTGAAAAAAAAAAGAGAACTTCAAAGTCAAAAAAGGAAATATAAATAGTGTTGTAATATGCGGAAGATAAGATAAAATAATATCTAAAATTATTATAACTCGAGAAGTATGTCTGTTAAATATAATAGTCTTCGTGTATCTACATTATGGGATAATTATGCAATTCAGAATAACGTTTTCTTGTATAATTCTTTTATTATGGCATGTTTTTTTATTCAAAATGTTTGGTCTAATTGTAATATCCATATAATCAATTGTCTTTTGTAGAAGGGTTGAGACACTCTAAATGTCTCTTTGTATATATTTATAATATATCTATATAATATATATATATATATACACACATTGGTGAGAAAAAAATGTTATAGATAATAAAATATTGCGAGTTAAAAAAAAAAAAATAAAATATGTATCACTTGAATATTAGGACTTTTAACCTGGCGAATTCTGAAACTGATTTCGTAATTTTTTACATAACGTTTATAATATAATTATGAGGGTGTTCACTTCTTGCTATTTTACTGCATCTGATATAGGATATCGGTTGTAGTGTAAAAGCTAGTCTTGGATGAGATTCATGTCTTTTTATTTTTCTTTTTTACAAATTATGCATGGGTTGGAACAACTCAACTCTACTTATTTAATATTTTTTTCACGATGTATCTTAGAGTTTAGTTTAGTTCTCTGTTACATATTAAAAATAAATAAATTTTTCATGTGTAGGTAAAAAAGGAGTCTTTAAATCAATACTCAAAGTGAGATTCATGTCTTATCTCTTCATTTCATAAACATGACACATTTTCTTTGTCAATATACAATTATACTTATGCACAGAGTGAAGGAAAAAAATGCTTGAAGTTTATACAAAGGGCCTTATATAATGAGCCAAAAATATTTATGTAGGAACAATGATAAGTTTGTAGCCACCTATATTGTTGATAGTTAATCTAGTTTGAATGATATAAAACAAGAAACACCACAATGTTGTCATGTTATGTCAAATATTAAATAGAATAAAACTATATATGTTTTTAACTAATCATGTTTTGGTCTACCATTACTACCTCCATTTATGATTATCGAATTCGTTCCAAATGCAAGACATGATACTGTACTATAATGTTATCTTATAAGAATACTAAATAGAATTAAATTTATGTACCTTTATCCTATTACACGTGTTCTTAATTTACATTTATATATCGTCATATTTAAACAGCAAACATGTCCTACTAGTATATATATTAAAATTTATACGAATAAAACTATATTATTATATTATTTATTTAAAACTATGTCTTGTTCATACTAATTATTTACTGAAATGGAAAATAAGTCAGCGTTATTTTACAAATGATATATTGTTTTAAGTCTGTTTGTATATTTATATGTGGTAAAATATATTGTTTTATATACTTTTTTAATTTATATAAAAAAAAGTGTGAAACTTTTTATAATATTTGAATTATTTATTAATATAATTTTTAGAATATTTATTTAATTACTCTAAATTTATGTTTTAAATTAACTATTTGTTTTTTTTACTTTTTATTTATATCTAAACTTAATTCTCATATATATATATATATATATATATATATATATATATATATATATATTGAGACGTGAGACTAGCAAGTGACGTGTTATGGTGATGTATTTGGAATAAGTGTGGACCCAGTGAGTGGTAGTGATTGTTAAACAAATCAAGCAGAATTTATAAAGATGCTTAGATGTATCATATATGCTTAGTAATTTTACAATGGAACAAAACTAATGTCATTAAAATTTCTAAAAAATAACTCGTTGCTTATGGAAGTAATTATTGTTTAAATTTAAAATTTACTATTTGTTTTGTAAGATGACAACCACTATCATGATTTACACATATGCCATTGAGATCATATTTCATTCACACATAAAGATTTTGACTAAAGATCAAAACCGAAAACGTAATAGTTATATAGTTTCATTTAATTTCATTGTTACACGTTTATTTAAATGTTATGTAGTAGATATTATTTTAAATTAATATGTTGTTTTATTATCGATTAATTAATTCAATGAAAAAATTAATTATTTTTCTCCAAAAAATTAATTTGAAAAATAAAGACTATCAAATACTAAAATTAATTCTAAATACAAATATAAAAAAGTTCCCTTTAAAAAAAAAATATAAAACATACAACGGTTTTATACATGAATGAAATTTTAGAATATTTTATATGCAAAATTAAAAGCTTCTGTAACGAAAAGGATAGTTTTTTAATATTTTTAAATAATAGTAGTAGTTATAATTAAATCTGATGGCTTATTTTAAATTATTTTAGCATAATCATTTTAATACTTTTTAAAAGACACATTAATTTAAATTTTGTTTCTAAAATTAACGTGAAAATGAGTAAAAGGAAAACATAAAAGGGATGTCACAAAATAAATAAAATGTGAAAAAAAAAGATATATACATATTGATAACTGTAACATTATGAAAGAAATATACATATATTTATTATTATAGAGGTACTTTATATATATATAAATATATATTTGATATGATTGTAGAAAAGTTGAGTAAAAGTATGTTATAAAAAGAATTTGTGGGATGGAATATATTCGTAAGTATGAGGATACATATAATATGTTACGTGACAGATAGAGCATAAAGATTTTTGTTAGATAGAAATATGTCCCTTCGTTTACATAGCGAAGACACACCGCACATATCTTTATCTACCACACCTCCATTATTGTAAATTATGTTGCACTTTTTTTTTTTGTTAATGGAATTACCACTTTAACAGAAAGTTTGGCCACCTAAAAAATAAAGTCTCTTTATGCCCATTTTCTATTCCAAACGTAACACCATCTCTCTACTCTTCTACCACACTTGTCATTACATGCATTACCTCTTTCATTACCACCTTTTCACAATTCTCTTTTCCATATTCTAATCACTTATTTTAATCTTTATTCTTATAATCACTTATTATTCTAATCACTTATTAGAATCATCCCATACACAACTTATTACATATAGGATCCAATGCTAGCTCTCTATTGCAAATTTTGTTTACAATTTCATGTATATTCTTTAAACAACCAAAGAAAACAAATCCATTCATTGTTTGGATAAAGTGTTTGATAATCAACTTTTCATAATCATATTTGTTTACTCTGTCCTTCTAGAATGTAATTACTTGCATATTCTATTAACTAAGATTATATGGTGTATCGGAAAACTAATTAAGATGACATCATGTAATACTCTGGCTAATAATACATGTATAAAAGGTTGTGAATATTGATTTTAATTCTTTGTTTAGTGAAACAAAATTTAACAAAGTAAAATGTAAAAAAAACAATCTCTTTCTTTCTAATTTAACCAGCTAAAAGCTGTTTATATAGGGAAAATCATTGGGAATAGAAATATTTTGTTTCCTAAAAAAATTGTTCCGTATTTAGATAAAAGGCTTTATCTAGAAAATTCTGCTGAAGGGAGTTCCTAAAAATCTTAATTCAATTATTTAGTCTTATAATTCAAATAAATGTATTTTACAAAGCTTTAAACAGTTTAACATTTATACGAATGTGTTAGTGAATGTTATAATATATGATTTTGGATGGTGTTTATTGATAATGATAATGCAATACATTTATATGATATTTGTGTGTGTAAATATTGAGTTATATATAGAATATATTAATGTGATATCATATTTTGTATGGTGAAGTTTGAACGTTATATATTCTAAATATAAGTTTTAACTCATAATTTAGATACTATGTATATTCTAAATATAAGTTTAAATTATGACTTTATATAACAGTTTATAAGGTGAGATTCATATCACCTATATATTTTCAATTGATTTATCTTTAATTTTAGTAAAACTTTTAACATATATGAAGAGTTAAACGGTGAAGATCAGTATAAATTCATGTTTGTTAGCTTTTTAAGGGTCATCAATAATATTATGTCATTACGTTACATTCGAAATACTAAATGGAATTTGGAATAATTTAATGGTAAGATATATTTTGAGACATGTTGCAAAATTTAATGTAGTCTTCTGAAATTCCTTAGTCTTTAAGTGTGCATTTGGATTTAAGTTAGAAATGAAGTTGAGTATTAAGTTAAGTGGAGGTTTAGCTAAATATGAAAATAAAGTGTCAAGCATGTTGTACAACGTTAATGGAAGTGAAAATTCGTTAGTGTTCCAACTGAAATCCAACTGCTCTCTAAGTATTTAATTCATAATTTTTTTGTATACTTTCTAATTTGTAGTTTATATCTTCTTTTTATTGATATCCCTTAT